GGCATAATTTGTGGGATTTGATTAAAATTGGATCTGCTGAAATTCACCCAGACAGCGCTGTCCTAGGCTTGGACATCGCTGTTCTAGGCTTGATTTTTAAAAATTGGGAAGCAACGGTCATGCCAACAGCGATGTCCAAAACCCCTACATCGCTGTTTTGGCTGTTGACTTCCAAACAAGGAAAGTTTTAGCCTTAAATTCCTTCCAACGGTCAGGTCTCTACATCGATGTTCTATCCTAGAACATCGCTGTTTAGGTTTGCCTTTGGAGATGGATGTTTGGCCTGACAGCGCTGTTGCTGGGTCAACATCGCTGTCCAAAACCTTTCTGCCAATGCACTATATTTTTGGCTTAGGTTGGACAGCGCTGTAGGGAAGCCTACATCGCTGTTCCAGAAGTTTCTGGAAATCCAACCTTGGCTCAACAGCGATGTCTAGTGACCAACATCGCTGTTGGAAGACTTAACGCCAAACCATGTTTTTAGCTATCCAGTCCAGACAGCGCTGTTGATTACCTCAACATCGCTGTTGGGCTGGTTTAGCCAGACCCATGGTTGGTTTAGTCACGCCGTTAGCCGATGTCAAAAATGCAAGTTCTCCAAAATAAAAACCAAGTTTAGAAAACATTTTTTATTGCATTTTGCTAAGAGAACAAGTAAAACATCTTGAAAACCACGTCATTTAGTTGAAAACCACGGCTAACCAAGTTCGTGCCGTTTCGCATGGTTTTTACTAAACGACAAAAAACGGAGAGTGGTTTTTGAGGCGTTTTTTTTGGAGAGCTAATTAAATATGCCCAGAGATAAAAACCAGTCATAAAAAGTTGAAAACCACTTGGTTGGTTTGAACGCCAAAAACCAATGCCGAAAACCGAAAGCCGAATGCCGGTTTCTGAAAGCCGAACGCCGGATGGCTGGTTTTTTTATCATATAATTCATGCTCTCTCCTTTTTGTTATATACAAAATTTCTTAATCAAAACCAATATGTACTAGTCACAGAACTCAATTAGTTTTGAGTCTAAAATGGCATATTTGAGTTCAATTAGTCAATGTATGATATTGCTTTTATGCAAAATGCAAGGCTAGCATCACTCCATAAAAAAAATGTCCTCATTAAAATTTCAAGAACATACGAGGAATAAATTGATGTTTGAACAAGTATGAATTAAACATCAATATCAAAATGTGTATGACACTTTTATTAGTTCTTTGCGATTTCAAGGGTGCAAGTCTAATACTTCTCTCTTCGTCTATCATCATGGTTCAGATATGGCATACCTTATGTTATATGTAGATGATATTGTTCTCACGGTGTCCCACACTCTGCTACTTGATAAGCTCATTTGGAGACTAAAGGAGGAATTTGCTATAACAGACATGGGGGACCTGCATTTCTTTCTTGGGATAAATGTTCAGCGCACTGCTCACGATCTTTTCCTCCACGAGACTCAATTCACTCACGAGATCCTTGAGCGGGTGGGCATGACAAACTGCAAGCCTATATCCACACCAGTTGACACCAAAGGGAAGGTGAGCTCAAATGCCAGTGTGCCAGTCTCGGATCCTGCTCTCTACCATTCGCTTGTTAGGGCACTATAGTACAGTAGCTATGTCTTCATATTTACCCGTACGGACATCACTTATGCAGTACAGTAGCTATGTCTTCATATTCATATATGCTCCCCGGTCCGGATACCTCACGGCCTTGAAGAGAGTTCTTCATTATCTCCACAACACAACCACACATGGCACCACCCTCACCAAATCATGGACATATCAACTTCAGGCTTTCTCAAATACAGACTAGGCTGGCTGCCCAGATACCCGGAAATCTTTATCTTGTTACTGTGTTTTCTTGGGGGATAATCTAGTATCTTGGTCTTCCAAACGCCATGCTACCACCTCTCGTTCTAGTGCTGAAGCTAAGTACCGTGTCGTGGCCAATGTAGTTGAAGAGTCTAGTTGGATACGAAATCTCCTCCTTGAGCTTCTCCAGCCTCTCCAGCGTGCTACCCTTGTTTTTGCGACTACATTAGTGTTGTGTATCTTTCGACAAATCCGGTTCAACATCAGGGCACCAAACATGTTGAAGTAGCAGGGGCGGCCTTGGGCCTATGCAGGGTGTTTAACCGCACAGGGCCCAAAAAAACTAGGGCCCAAATATTTTTTACTCCGTAATAAATAGTAGTGTGTATGATATATAATAAGAGGCCCAAATAAAATGGCCAAAAAGCTCTTGAGCAGCCCCAAACGGAAGAACGAAACCAGGGAGAGGAACCGCGAAAGACCAAAAGTCGAAGGAAGAAGAAGAGTTGCCTCATCTCGACTGCCTCCGGCTGCCCGCCTCACCACTACGCCGTCCAGGACTTCTGCATTGACTTCGGCCTTCAAGTATGAACATATAATTTATTATAATTTATTGATTTTAATGATCAAATTCCTAATTTTATTTATCTTTTAAATTTTAAATGTGTCATCTATGTTTTATTCTTCTATACTTGAATAGAGTAGTTTATAGTTTAATGAGATTTAATTTTTAATTAGAATGATTAATGAATTATAATTTGATAAAAAATAAGGTTTTTAAAATTTTTCCTCTTTTAAAAGTTTTTATTGCTAATTGTTTCAAAATCTAAAATAGGTATTGCTAAAAGTTTTTATGAAATTTAATTTTTATTTAGAATGATTATGAAAGTTTTTTTAAATTTTACTTTTATAAGATATGATAGTCAATAGAGGTCAATTTTTTGTTTTCGCACAAGGCCTGTTTTTTCTTCGGGCCGGCCCTGTGAAGTAGACATTCATTTTGTAAGAGACAAAGTGGCCCTTAGACATATTCGTGCGCGTCTTGCATGTCCCATCCTCTTCTCAGTTTACCGATGTCTTTATAAAAGGATTTCCATCTCTATTATTTCTGGACTTCAGAGACAGTCTTGCCATACGCTCATCACCCTGGGGCCGCACGGAGCATGTTAAATATAGTAACTATATTTATTGTATTTATTATTATGTGATATTGTTTCCTTGTGTGTATAGCTCCTTATTTAGAATATTCCCTACATTGATTCCTACCATGTATAGGAGTAGAGATCCATAGTATGCGCAAGGTTCCCATGACATTGCCCGGCAATGTCATGGGATCACCCGGGGGCACTCTGGTACCCTGTCCATAAAACTGACGGTTCCTACCCTCAACCCCCCGGTAAACCCCCCCCCCCCCACCCCACTCCGACCCAAACACACCCCCACCCCCTTCAATTGCACCCCACAAGTTGATTTTGATTTTGGAATCAAATTTTGTAATGCTCAAGCCTGATTGAATTTTACTCTTCTCTTTTTGCCTCAATATTCTTAATAAATATTTTGGCATTTTTTATGCAAAAAAGGGGAGAAGAGGTTCAAAACAGCTCAGATTCGTTTTTGTCAAAAAATTGCCAAAAGGGGAGATTGTTAGTTCCATATTATGTTGGCATTATTTTTTGACAAACGAATAGATTTACCTACAATTATTTTAGATGTTTTATTTAGACTTAGAGTCCTAGCATGTGAAGAAAAAGAAAGAGGAAAGAGCTTGAAAAGAGAATTCTAATACTACTTGGTTTATTATTCTTGAGAAGGAAGCCATGGTTGAGACTCCTAAGTCCTAAGTAAACTCTAACAGGGTTCTCCTATTCCATATATTATCTTTTCCCTCCCTTAGGGTTTTGGCGTGCAAAAATACAAAAAAACTGAAGCAAATCCGATCAAAAGAAAAACAAGGTGCAGATTTTGATAGTGTAAATTTTCTAGACAACCTGCCTAAATGTGCTCATCGCCAGAGATCCGACTGTTGGATTTTGCTTAAAATATCAAAGAGTGTTCCCAACACATAGGGCTTCCACATGTTAAATTTTCACGTCAATCGGTGTTACGGATATTCTTTTATTGAAGTTACAATCTACATATTGCCGCTGGTTTTTTGGAGAAAACGAAGCTCTGGTTTTTTCGATGATCGTAGTACCAAATCTTGTCCGATCGTGCTGAAATTTTAGGAAGAGTCTAAGGACTCGTGGAGCTTCAATCTGAACAGTGGAGATCAAATTCCAACGGTTGAATCTTGATTTATGAGCTTCGGATAAAGCTGCAAGTTTTTGTAGAGAAAGGCACAATTATTGTTTGAATGTGTACTGAAATCTACGTCCTTGAAAAAGATCT